TATATTGAGCAATCGGATTACGCATTATTCAGAAATCTACTAACGAGAGAATGCGTTACTCTGCGCAGAAGTGACCAGCACTGAAACATGAAATGTCAGAAAGTTCTTATTGTTTAATTTCTTTTTAATAATACAAATATCTTATTTTTATTACTAACACTGTACTTAATGTCCAATTTATTTGAAATTAGCAAGTCAAATCTTAGTAATGATACCTAGAATACATTATCACCAAGTTTTACAACTTGAATCTAATGTGCAGCGACATTTTTTCTAATATAATCTTTATATTTATTGGTCAATATAAAATTTGTATCAATAATATAAAAGCGCTTGACTTTTTAGGATAAAATAATGTCTATCCATGTCGCTGAAGTAATCCTTTTGAAATACATAACTTTTATTACTTTTTATTACAAAACACTAAGATCTGTAGATTGATCAGAGTTAGACATTAACACTGTTGGATGCCGGCGCAGTGGTCCAGATGTCAGGCATTCGCGCACAAGACCGTAGGTCCTAGGTTCTAGTCCTGCCAGGTGAAGGAGTAGTGGATGCGCTCTGCTGAAGAGTCCCATACCAGGACGAAACGGCCGTTAAGTGTTGATATATCACTATACTGGAACAAGGCAGACTGTTAATTATTTCTCAGTGATTAATTCATCGGTTCACATCCAATCAACTTAATGTTAACTAAACTCTGTAATTTATCATAAATTAATGTTATTAAAAATTATCCTGATATAAGTACTTGAATCATTTAATTCAGCCTTTATTTTTAAATGGCCTTTATTGGAATAAGTTAATCTTTGATATTTCAAAATTAAATATACTGATTATAAGTTTTTATGATATTTATATATATATACTTTTTACAAAATACTTATTTTTAGTTTTGTAAAATTTCCAGTCTAATTTATTTCATATTGCATAATCAGGATATTATTCATGTGTAACCGCAACACACAGTTCACATGTTTCTTGATGAAGACTATATTTTTAGTTCTAAAGTTAAATGTTTAGTCAACCAAAACACAAAAATATGAATGGTTTTTGTTCAATCTATTCTAAATTGTAAATCCTTCTTTTTCTGGCATATCAAGTTTACAAACTCAAAGAATAGGAACTTAATTTGCATTAATGACATTGAGAATTTTGAATGTTGGTAAGATTATCAAACACCCTAACGCACACACACACACATACTACATACAAATGCATGTTAACTGATAAATTTGTGTGTGTTTGTTTAGAACAATCTATTAAATTGCCTTGATGTAGACGTATATATATGTATATATTATATATGAATTTTGACACGCTTCTATGATTCTGACATTTGTACTTAACCATCCAGTATAAATTTGGTTACAAGACTAAAGCACATACATACAAATCGATTCTTTGAGAAAGTTTTGCATAATTGCTTAAGTTTGATGGAAAATTTTGCGCAATGTTTAAATGCTACAAAAATAAAAGTTTATCAATCACTTGAAACGGTTTCTACCATTTTAAATAAAAAATAAATAAGGAAGACTGTTTAAATTATTTGAAATGTATGTGACCTAAATGGAACGCCTTTGATAAAATTTGTCTGGAATTTTAACATAGCTACAAGAGTAAATGATACCACCTATACAAATAATGGAAGTTAATTTATGTCAATTTGTAACCTGTGTTATGAATCAGCGTCAGACAGATTTATTTTCAAGTTCTATTTGCATCACAATTAATCTAAACAAGTTCATATGTGTTCAGGTTAACTGAAAATCTTAAATATGATAGGATTTCAAATACAGATATTTAAGTGACCATTTTTGAGCTTCATGCGATGTAACTGGTACGTAAGTTTCAATTTTATTCCAATCGTCCGTTGTTATGATTGACTATTGTCAATGAAATAAATATACACGAACAACTCAAATTTATCGCACTACAGTTCTAATCAAGTTTTTTTGTGTTAAACCAAATTATGTTCGTTAGCAACTAAATAACTACTAGTTAAAATACATAAATATACTTAAACTGTTAAACTTAATCTCATTTATCCTCTGCTCACATAATTTACACGTTACGTTTAATAACTTTTAGTTAACTTATTATCGTATCTTCTGTTGACTCAGCTTACCTACTATTTTGGTATCACTGGAAGAGAATGTTTTCGGATTTCCGAAAATCTCAGTGGTATTGTAACGCATTCGAAACCCTACTCTATCAACTCCTAGTTTCGTTCATCAGTTTATCTTGATCTTGTGCTGGCTTTATTTCTGGTTGCTGTCTGTTTATTCCTATATTGCATGTAAACGCATTTTATGTGCTTACTGAGTCGTCGGCTCATCTTTTTCTCTTGTTCTTTCTTCTTCCAGATAATCTCACACGCTGTTCTTCACACCCCCTACCAGCACACGAGGTGCCTCCTGGCTAAACGCAAACCAACCAAAAGCTGAAGTTACAGTATAAACAACAACCAATTCGTAATTTACGACACCAAGGATTAAGAAACGGTATAATTCGTTTTTCACAAAATCCTCCATGAAAAACTTAAAATCAAATTCAGATATCATAGAAATTAGTTTATAAGAGTTTATCTTTATCTCTTTACAAATAACTTATCAAAGCTGTAGGTAATTAATACGAAACTATGAGATTTCAATTCCTTTGGTTTAGTTAAAAGTACAAAGTATCGATCGAAAGATAGTCATGAAAATTGAACTGAATAAATGAAAGTTTTGTGATAAGTAAAGAGATTTACGTAAAAATGAATAGTGCTTGAGAATTTCATTTTTCTTTCAAACCTGCTTATGGCATCGCAGTATTGTGCACTTATTATCATAAACCGTTAAAAATGACATCCACATCAATTTTGTAATTAAATAGTTTTCTAATAACTTCAAATGATAACAATGAGCAGATATTTTCTGTTTTTATTCAGTTGAGTCTTTACCGCATCAGTAGCTACTTATTACGAACATGCTTTACCCACTATTTTTGAGACTTTCAACTTAATGGTGAACATTGCAGATGACGCGTAATGAATTTGTCTGCCCTGTTTCTTCATACTCATTTATAAAATTATTAGTTGTATGCAACATCAAACGCTTGAGTGTATTTTCTTGGGGACGTTAGATCCCCAGAACTCGCTTGATAAATGTCTTAAATTTGGATTTTTTGTTTCCGAGAATGAGCAGATCAGTTGACCTTGAGATCACATTTCCCACCAGGAAATTACTTGACTGTGATTGGTTGATGTTTATTTTAGTGCGCTATTCTGTGACTATCCCAAGGACGTTTCTGTGATGTATAAATAAACGAGATTTCTGTGCTAGATTGCATTGTGCTTACTGGGTGTTTGTAGAATATACTTTCTACGCTTATCAAGAATTATCTTTAGCCATTTCAGATCAAGGTAGCCTACCTGAACGCTGGTTCATTGTCTCTTTCTAGTTTATCGACTAAGGTGAACCCGTGATAGTTTCAAGCATACCAAGTGACGACCTTACCATATTTATGGTATGGAAATTTGCCAGACTTCATGAGTTTTAATATTTCTAAAAATTATATTGTGTTGTATACTCTACATAGAAAATTCGAGAACCATCAAACTTTTTTTAAAATGAAAAGCTTCAATCTGATGATAGGCGAAAAATAAGGACCATTTACCTTTTAGTAATGAATTAAATATCAAATTTCCAAGATCGTTATCCTTTCTATACATGTTTATTCCTAAAGAAAACTAGTTTCATCATACCATTAGTTTGTATTAAAATCGAATATCTTTTCATAATGAAATCGATGTGAATTAAAAAGCCTTTCTGTTCAGTTATCTATCAGTTTTCAATTCACCCTGTCCGCTGGGTGGTTACTTTAACAATCAATATTCTTAAAAGTGTTTTCACTACTATTTCTTTTTTTTTTCTGTTAGTAGATCAATTCACACATAATTGATCATTCTTCATTCATTCATTCATTTTCCACAATCGTCTTTCCAATAATGAATGAATAATGTTATTGAGATAAATGAGTTTTCCAAAAATAAAATATATATTTATATAACGAAAATAATAATAAGAAGAAGAATTAGAATACGGAAAATTTTAGTAACAGCCTGTGGATGACAGCTTTCAATGAATGAAAAGTTACTGCTTGAAGTATTCTAGCCTATGTAACAATCGCATTAGATTTACTACACATGTGGCTCTAATCTATTGATACATACGGACAAAATAATTCAACCTTAAACTAATCGTATGTATGTACGCACATTTACATATATACATATAAATATATATCTACATCCATAATTCTAAGATGTTGGCTGTTCTGTATATATCTGATGATTGCATGTATGTTTGTGCGCTTGTAATAGCGCATCAATGCTTAAGTGAAAGTATGAAAAGAAAAAAATTTGTTTCTGTCTAATAGGTGACACACGTTTACTCTTTTTTTTTATAAGTAAAAGAACTCTTATGTCATTCTACTCAACTTAAACTATGACATAATAGACAGGTTTGATAAGAGATAAAAATGAAAGCAAGAAAGATGAGCATTGAAGAGATGAGCAAGAAAGCAAACAGAATTAGAGTAAAACAACAAGAAGAAGATAAGAAGACAGCGAACGAAGAAGACAATGACCTAGAAAATCTTGTGATAACAACTTTCATTGAAGAAAACAAAAACTGACATTTTATCCTGCAACAAAAAAAGAGAAAAATAATAATAATGATAATCCTCATGATCATCATCACAACTATGATAAAACAAAAAAAATTGATGAAGAGAATTATAAAAAAATATGAATAAAATGATTAAAAGTTTATTTACCTTTTCTTATGGGATAATGAAATATCAACAATGACATTAATGAAACTAACTGGGAAAAAATAAGTAACTAACTAACTAACTAACTAGGCAGAGCTTCAACTTATATTAACTAGTCTTTATGAGAATATGAAAAACTAAACATTTTAAAAATAAAAAAAATGATAGTTTGTTAGCATTACCTGAATGACACGCATCGAGAGTCCAGTTTCTTGTGCTAATGATTCTCTGACATGTCTGGTTGGTTTAGGAGTTGCAGCAAATGCTGTTTTAAGTGTGTCTAGTTGTTTTGCTTTGATTGTTGTACGTGGGCCACGACGTTTCGCACCTCCACCACCACCACCATTATTGTTATTTCCACAGTTTGTTTTGAGACCGATTCCACTATTACTACTACTACCAGGACCTACGCTGCAATTCAGTCCACTTTCAATACCACTAGTTAAATGATGATGATGAGGATGATGTTGACGATTTACTCTACATTGACCAGTTATACTCTCGTCATCATCATCATCATCAGCATCATCGTCGTCATCTTCAACGTCAACATCATCTCCTTCATCATCGGCTACACTTCTTTGTGATGATGTCTCACTTATTGGCATTTCACAACAACTTGTTTGTATTGGGGATTCATAAGGATGAGATTGATGCAATAATTGAATAAATCTATCTTGTGAAGAAGATGAATTAATGTCATTGTAATCAATTTCTTGATCACTATGTAACATTGTAGTTTTAAACTCTTCTAAATGCATAGAACCATGTCTTTTGTTATTTTCATTACACGGTTCCTCAGCATTTATCATATTCTCATCAACATCGTCATCTTCACTTTCATTCGCATCATCAACATTGTTGTTGTTGCCTAAATGATTTACTAGTTGTCCATTATCCTTATGAACTTCATTGTTATCATGAATCAGCGAATTGACATTCTGTTCAAATCTATCATTGACAATCATTTTACTCCTGTTTAATATTGCCAAATGATTATCATTATCATTATCAATACACGGATGGTTCGTATCGATTGTTAATGGAAATTTCTCAGTTCTTGTTAGATAAGCTTTACTTTTTGATCTGTTAATCAGTTGATTTTCTTTATTGGACATTTGTTCATTCAATGACGACAGACGAAACCTATCACAACCATATAAAGTTGACAGAGAATTGTCATTTATTAATAAGTCATTATTTTCATTGATATCTTTACTAATCCATAATAAGTTGTTATAGTTAGTGTTTACATTTTGATTATTATTATTATTATTATTGATATTATTGTGTATTATTTCTTTTGATATATGGTTTTCATAAGGATTATGGGTTTCATGCAGTTTTTGTAGACAATTTAAACTATTCTCATTGATATCTTTATCAATATTCCTTTTATTCCATACATAATTATTCCGTGTTAATTGTTCTGATTTTCTAAGAAATTGTTGATTAAGTTGAAAAAATGGTAGATTTGCATTGATTGGTTGATTCGAAAGAAATGGAGTTGTATTCAATAAGGTATTATTGATCGGTGTGTGAATGAATGATCGTGAACCATCAGACATGGAATTCGGTAGAAATGATACCGTTGATAATGGCGCACTGACCATTACATCTGTAATGTCCGATGAAAATAGATGATCTGATTTTGTTTGTGATTGACATAGTAAATTTGTTGAATATACACTATCTGATTGATCAGAGTTTTGTTGTAATTTAACTTCTAGTGGTGTTGGATGAGATTTTCCTACTGGAATATTGGATGAGTATTGTTGAGCAGTTAATTCAGAATTTATGAAATTGCTATTTGTAATAGAATTTTCAACTTCAGGAATTGACTGGACAAGTTTGTTGTTATCATTTATTTGTGTTTTAGAAGGAGAAGCTAAAAAAACACAATTTTAGAATAGTTATAATAATAATTAGCGGAAAATATAAGTGTTAAGTGTATGATTCTGAATATCTTAGATTCTTATGACAACATATTGTTTGAATGGTACTTTAGTAAATCTTCCTAATGAACACATATCCTTTTTAATAGTATTCTACTGAAGAAATATATCAGTCTTTGTTATTGGAGTATTGATAATGTACTGTATTGTAAGTCTGTCATTGGAAAGATCAAAAGTTCGACTCAATACAATTATTTCTGTTGATTTTAACATTTACAGTCTTAAATTTAGTTTGACAATAAATTATTATCAGTGAGAGTTTTGGAGATTTGTGTTTTTACACATTTGAAATCATTAGTCAATCACTGTTAAACCACTATTAGAAACCTGCAAGCACTGGACGGCCGTTTCGTCCTGGTATGGGACTCAACAGCAGTGCGCATCCACGACTCCTGCACCTCGCAGGATTCGAACCCGGGACCTTCGGTATTGTGCGCGAACGCCTAACCATCGGACCACTGGACCGGCATCCACCAACGGTGTTAATGTCTAACTCTGATTGCGCGACCTCACCCATTTGTCTTTGGTAGTTACTGCCTACACCCGACAGGGTTGAACTCCACTGGTCACGTCTTCTCACTAGAACTGAGAGAATTTCCTCACGAAGCCAGTCACTAGTGAGCAGTGTTACGATATTTTCAGTTATTATTATTAACCATTTATTGGTTCATTTGAATCCTTTAAAGCCTACTTAAAATTTAACTACTAATCGATATATTGAGATGTGGGAAATGTTCTTTGTTACTGATTTATGTTAATTAGTTGAATCTATAACTTTCAGATCAATTGTAACACGCTCTGATCAAGGTCTGAAAGTCCTGGGTGCGGTCCCTAATGTGGCTGTACGTGTATACTGAAGAGCAGATATACATTAGAATGAAACAGTCACCCAGTATTCCCTGACTTTCAAAAGCTCTCCAGTTAAAGTCAATCTGTATAATATCATATGCAGTCTTTTATGACTTGACAGAAGAGAGAACAAAATACAGTGAATAAAGATGCGTGTTACAGCAAAACTAGATGCGTACAATATATAAATAGGTTTATTCATATGAAAGAGATTTATTTATTTCAACTTGATCACTTCATAAATGATACTTCATTAAGTAACATTAATCATAAATATGGGTTTGATCCCATTTATAACTATATTGAATATTACGTATTCAACAGGAAACCATTTTGTCAGAGACACGGTACATATTTTATTTTACTGTAACTTTATGATATCGATAATAATTTGTTTAAATAACATTAATTCTAAATTTAATTGTTAGTATTATATTCAATTCGTCAACAAAGCTAAGACGTTTTAATTACCCTTCATGGAAAAAGAGGCTGAATTTCAAACATCAAATTTTCATGGACATATGATATGTATCCAAGGTGTGACCTTCAAAGTTATTTCAATTTTCACTTGTATCATCGAAATTGACTAACGACTAAAACAAAGAGTGAACAAAAAAAATACTTTTTAAGAGTTGTTCTTTTACAAACATGACGAGATTTACGAGTACTATAAATCCTTTGACACAAATTACAAAACACTAAACAAATTGACGCTATTTATGTATCACAATTACATTAAATTGTTTCATACACTTTGAAAAGTAATAAATACAACTGAAAACAAGAATAAAATGTTGATAAAAAAATGTCACATAGGCATACACCTAAGGCACAACGAAATAGTCATAAACTAAAAAAAACAAAACGAAGAATATTTTCGTTTTTTCTTTTATGGTTGCCTTAAAACAAAAAGCACATAAACATAGTGAAAACTACAGAGTGTATGTGTTTGAACCAATCAGAGAGTGCTCTTTGTACAAAAGAAAAACGTATATATATTTGTATATATATATCCACATACAAAGAGCCTGTAAGTTGTCCAAAACAATCGGAACAACGAAAAGATGCATAGTTCATTTTAGAAATGAAATAGAACAAAATAAAAACCTAAGGGAGTAATGACAATGATATTCATATCAATTTCTTATTGGATGATTAGTTTAGTTTAATGAAATTATTTATTGAAGAAGAATTTTATGTTCTGTAAGAAATAATCCTTATTTTCATGATGTCATTTTTTTCACAGTGAAATTTTATGCTTCATTGACTGAATTGAAAACTTGACCTAGCAACTGAGCTTGTAGAAAATTTGAGCAGATGTTGTTCGGTGAATATCGAATGAATTTTAAAATAAAAAAAAATTAGTCATTAAATATATACAAGTAGATGACTTTGTTTCATTTTTTTTAACAAAAAAAATTCTAAAATAAAAGCATTGGTTGATTGGCGAATAAAGAATATTTTATTTATTTATTTAAAACATTGAACATTTAATATGGATTTGGATATTTTGAAGGCGATTTTATGTTAAACCTATATCTACTGTAAAATTATTATTAATATTATTATTATAAGTGGAACTGACTTGCGTCAATCAATGACTTTGATAACTCCTGTCAAGAACTGATCACAGATAATCGTTAAAATCATGAGGCAGTAGAAAGATATTTCGTCTTAGTACTATCCAATTAAAGACACCTACTGCGAACAAAACTCCAAAAGTTCAGATCTCGAACTGATCATTTAATCCTTAAACCATTCAGTTAATATTCATTGGTCTGAGTGTTTAATTTCAAAAATATGATGAAGTACTGATAATAATTGTCGTGTCCAAGTTTAAAACCATATGGTCTACATGAAATTTGCAAGTAGAATCTTCAATTTGCATAAAAAATACAGTGTCATTAAGAATATCGAGTCAGAAAACTATCGTTTTTATTTGACAACCTAAACCGATTCCTAATATAAAAGTAATTTATCAGTCGTTCGATGTCCAAGAAGCAGAATAATATCAAAATGATTAAGGAGAGTATAATCAATCAGGTACTTTGTAGTATGCATAGTTAATCGTTAAAAGAATGTTTTTAAGTTACATATGATATGATACATTCAATTCCGTGAAATTAATTGATGACACTTTTGAACAATCTCATTGCTCATAACCAACATTTCACAAAGACATTGAATTGTCCCTCTTCATCCATAAATTTTTAAGCGTAAATAACTGTTAACCAACAGATATATTTGGAAAAGTGATCGAGAGGTTGTGGAGATTGTTGAATTTCATGAAACGAACTAAGTTACATAGCTATTTAAAAACCTGGAAGTACTGGACGGTCGTTTTGATCTCATATAGGACTCTTAATAGAGGAAAATCTACTGCCCCGCACACGGAAAAAGAAACCAAGACATTCGGTATCACATGCGAATGCCTAATGTTTAGATAATTAAGCCGGCATGCAGAGGTGTGCAAGTTTAACTTTTATAGAATCACGATCTTTATTGACCATCTTCTATCGTGAATTACGTCAGTTCTTGATCTCTTAATTCAGAATTACTGGTAAACGACATTATTTAAAGAAAAAACACATGTGTAAATGAACCTAAAACATTGATTCGTGGAAAATTTCCAAAGATATTTTACAATTTATCTGCTTGTTTAAGTGAAAAAAAGATCTCGTTTAATAATTATGCTCAAATGAGAATTTGTGGAAGCATTAAATAATAACTTCAAATTCCTTTGAAAACAGTATCACCTAGCTTTCAATAGTTTTCATTTATAAGACGATATTTATCTTATCATGGCTTAAATACTTCATGTAATTGATAGAGTTCAAACAATGTAAAACAAACAGTATTACAGGATGCAGTGATTACACTGTATTTCATTGATTTTTCTCTTCAGCTACGTAAAAACCTAGGATAAAATGAATTCAATGTATACTGCAAATCTTGTACATGTCTTCTTCTATGTAAAATGAAATATTTATTAACCTCTTATATTTGTCATCATTTCTAATTCAGTTTTACAGTAAATAAATAAATAAATTAATTAACTGATTAATTTCAAAATAAAAAAAGATTTAATTAATTTTTGCAATTATGATGCAATATGATTCTACATGATAGTATTAAATCACATTAAAAATTCTATAATAGGAAATCAAAAGAATTCAATCTTATATTCTTATATTTTTTGAAAGTTTGATGATAGACTTTTCTAACTTTGTCATAATGTATGAATTCATTAAGATGTTTTGCATGACAATCATTATTACGATTGGATAGATACACTTTTAAATAGATATTTACATATTACTAAGAATGTATTTATACATTATGCGAGAAAATGTATGTTGAAGAAAAAGTTGATCAACTATAAATCATATTGAAAAAATTATAAATAAACCTAGGATCAAATTGTCATATCAGTGGACAAAAATACCCGAAAAATTAACAAGATGAAAGGTAAAAGAGGAACGACCACATTATTTCCGATAATGGGTGACCTATTCATGAAATATGTTAGTTAAAAAGTAGTCAATGAAACTAGGAAATCAAAAGTATGCAGTATTATCATATTCACGAGTTTAGTGGGGAAAACGAATGAAGGTGACTATATAGATAGAAATTGCGCACTACAGAACGGCCAAGTAAACATGATATTGGCCACCAATTACCAACTAAAAACTCCGTCTGGAGCCCCTCTGGTGCTACTACCAGTCCCAAGCCCGGATAAGGGAGGAGGGTTAGGCTTGGTCACCCCATACCGCAGAAAACTAACTCACTAAAAAACGCCGACCAGAAAACATAACTCAAACCATTTTAACTCTGCCCTGGGAGTTAGAAGAGCTATGACGTCAGAAGAGTTATGACGTCTCGTGATGAAAGCCAAGTTCCTTCGAAAGTCACGAGGCCGATGTTCCTTCTGAAAACCAGAAAAACTATTCTTTTAAGTACATGGAATCTCCGAACACGACAAACATAGAAGCAGTATCCACGGACCTCCCAGTCAGTGTTGGTCCACTAACAATTAAAGAGATCAGTATGGTTATCAGACAAATCAAGAGAAGCAAAGCAGCAG